AAGCACAGCTTAAGTATATAACACCAACACAACATACTTCCTCAGCGACTCTTTCTCTCCCTGCCTCATCGCCATCAACGTCAAATATGTCTTCGCCTGCTCCACCGCGCTCGAATATTGGTTGGTAAGCTTGCTGGAAAAATCCTCAAAGTCCGCGATCGACTCAGGGGTAGTTGATGAAACCAGTCAAGTACTCCCCCACGCAAGGTCGATAGAAATGCCCTGCAACATACAGAATCAGAATATCCATGTAATACAGCCATGTTCTCAAAGGTCCTCACATGCCTCGATGGGTCAGTTGACCCGTCATACACCAGATTAGCCTCCTTGAAATTATTTAGTAAGGGAGCTGCGAGAATCTCCCTCAAGAACAGATGTCCTCGAGCTCTCCTCTACGGCCTTCCCTCAACCTTATCCTGCAACTAGCGCAATTGTTCCACCATCCTCTCCATTGCACGATCTCTTCCACCTCCTCCATCTCCATAACTGGACACATCCTCGTCCTGGCCTCCTACTGTTGTGGTCGGTGCGGTGGTGGCGTGATACATGTGGCTCGTGACTTGCTGCACCGCCTGCGTCGCCGCAGCTGCCGCTATGTTCTGCATCTCCTCCCTGGTCATCGTCACCATCTGTTGACCAGGAGCTTGTGCAACGGCTTGTTGTGGTGCTCCTCCTTGTGTCGCCATCCCTCCTTGTACCATCACTCCTCCTGGTTGCACCACCACGAGATTTCGGGGCGGCGGCGGTGGCATCGCCGCCGCAGCTGCTGCGCGAGCCTCTTGAGCACGATTGGAGCTGGCATCTCCTCCGGGAATTGTTGTCGTTGCTCCAAAACCTTGAAAGACAGGCGTAGGAGTGATCGGCGTTTGCGATGGGCCAGAAAAACCCGGAGGTAGGCCTTACCCAATCAGCCTAGTCGTCCAAGCGTCGTCGAACGTCGACTGCAAGTTTTTGGGAATTCCGTCCGCCATAGCCGAGCTGCAAACACAACTTCTCAAACAAAAGTCCCACAGACGACACCAATAATTCAAGTGTGAACATCCTGGTCCGGTTTGGGGTAGAACGATTCTTGTCCTCGCCGGTAGAACGCCGGAAACCTGCAAACAACTCTCACACCGGGGGTTCTCTCCTGTGAAGAGCCTCCGATGCTTAAATCAGTATGTGTTTGAGTATATTGAAGTGAATAATAGAGAAAAATCGCGTTGAAGA